TATGTTCCGCTGGTTTTGGTCCTCTATCCACACTGAGAGAAGACGCTCCATGTTTTCCATCAAACTACTTCTTGATCGACTTATTTTAGTAGCACTAAGCGGTGTTACACACCGAGCACTAGCTCTGATCTTGTCGGCATTACTCCGAATTGTTCTCACAGTGGTCGGAGTGAGACCTAGAGTGATGGCAATGTCTACCGCACGCTCACCTGCATCAAAATGCCTTAAAACATCTAATTTAGTACCCAAACTAATGGTTTTCCTGGTTTTCTTACTGCTAGTGGTACTGCTACTACTAGGCACTCCACTATGACTTGCTCGGCGTTTTTGACTCATGATGCTAGGTGATACTGTACAGTACAATCACAACGAGCCTTTTACCATTACATTTAAAACAGACTTGCACAGGGTCACTGGAACAAGGTCCTATGTCAGCTCCTTGAGCCCCTTCTGTTTCTTGCTCACTCACGTTAGCAGCAGCTTCCCTTTCCCCAAATCTCCCTGCAGTCACTAATCAGCGGTTTGTCTGCAGATCTGCTCATGAACTTGTCCTAAAGCAGCGTATCAATATCACGTGGGATGTTTCTCAGGGAATGCCTTGCTGCTAAATGATGAAATAGCACTTGGCTGAACCCTCAACGGTTAACACGTTGTTGTTAATGTAGCCTCACACTCTACATGGCAGCACAGATGGAGGCAGGAGACACAACAGACTCACGGCAGTGGCTGCAAACACTTCCCTGCAGACACTGAAGATGATGATGAACCCACGCTATCCCGGCCTGCTGGAGCGCACCACTCCCTCCTTCGGACAGCGCATGCACTTGCTACTCTTCACTCCCTTCAGCCTGGAGTGGTTGGGGTCATGCAGCATCAATCAACTATTGAAAGGGAAAGAATTTGGAAAACCCATGTCATTCTCCATGGTAATCTGCTCCCCTACTGAAAGCCCTTTGGGTTTAGGCTAAGACTAGTAATGGAGTCAGTTTCACTTTCAGGTTCTTACTTTCACAGGAACCCTGCTGGAAGACCAAAGGCCTGTCTTCCAGGGTGCCCTGGAAAAAACAGCCCTGCTGTACCTCCCATAGTAACCATGCACGCAACACCGGTGCAGCACTGCAGCCAATGTAGCTGTGACTGTTGTAAGAGGAAAAAAATAATGTTTGCTGCAGGGTTGTGCCCCTCCCTGCTGTGTGCAGGCAGGGGCAGAGACATGCAGCTGGCATTGAAGTGAATGGCAAAGCTCCCATGGATTTCACAGACTTTCATGGGATTAGGGCCAGGTCCTGTGCCTCCCTACACCGCTTCTCCCCCTTGCTAGACCGAAGCAGGCGCTGGAATGCTATTAACTTGCTTTGGGCGGGCTGCCGCCCCCTGTGTTCCTACCCCCCTCCCGCAAAGGGGGGGAGCGGATGGAACGTTGTGTCGTCAGATGCACGACAGTAAGGCGGGGCTGCCACTGTGCAGCCCCTGCAACTGCTTTACAGGTGGCTGGTAGCCTCGGGCGGAGCCTCCGCAAGCGCTCGGCATAGTGCCCTAGTCCCAAGCACTTCCATCATGACTAAAGGGAAACCACCCAGGGCCCATCCCTTTGGCATTTACCATGATGAGATGATGACCAAGGTACCAAGAACTGTTATTTGATGGCAAAAATCCTTTGGATTCTGCATGTCTCTCTTTACCCCATCTACCTTGTTAGGTACTGCCTGGCTCGTAGAAACCCCACAGAGAAATCAGAACAGCCTAACATGAGTCCTGCAGTAACTGTCACTAATCCCATCAAGCTTGATTGTGCACAGCCCTCAGGAATGAATCAGAGTGTCACATGTGATGGTGGCTTTTATGATGTGAATGCCTGTTCCATAGCAACTGGAATAAAGCCACCCCTTGTTTCACATGGGCCACCAAACATGGTAACGCCAGCTATAACATGATAAGACCTTTCAGTCACTGCCAGTCTGCACTAGATTTAAACTACACCTCTATCCCGATATAACGCTGTCCTCGGGATCCAAAAAATCTTACCGTGTTATAGGCGAAACCGCGGTATATCGAACTTGCTTTGATCCGCCGGAGTGCGCAGCCCCGCCCCTCTGGAGCACTGCTTTACCGCGTTATATCTGAATTCATGTTATATCGGGTCGCGTTATAATGGGGTAGAGGTGTATTTTAGTCTATTCTATACAGTCTCTTATACCGCACTCATCACGGAAGTACCTGTGAGCCGCAGAAGAAAAACTCTGGTGTCCAGTTACCAATCTCCCAAATTCTAACTGTTTTGTAAAAAGAATTATATGTGATCACACTTACCCCAAATGCAAGGCTAACATGTACATTACATATTAGCAGCATTTTAAACAAGAATTTTCAAAAAATTCACAGCCAGATTCTACTCCTCTTATCTATTATCACACTTATATGGTCCTCATTACCAAAGCACTGAAATAGCACCTCACATTCTTCAATGTATTTATTCTCACATTTTTGATGCAGAGAAGTGTTATGATCTCTATTTTGCAGTCACACAGGCAGTTTGTGGCAGAGCAGGGAACAGGTCTTCCAAGTCCTAGGCGAACACCCTATCCATTGGAAAAAAGAAGAACAGGAGTACTTGTGGCACCTTAGAGACTAACAAATTTATTAGAGCATAAGCTTTCGTGGACTACAGCCCACTTCCTCGGATGCATATAGAATGGAACATATATTGAGGAGATATATATACACACATACAGAGAGCATAAACAGGTGGGAGTTGTCTTACCAACTCTGAGAGGCCAATTAATTAAGAGAAAAAAAACTTTTGAAGTGATAATCAAGATAGCCCAGTACAGACAGTTCCTTCCTCTCATTGAATAGTACCTTGTTCCTTGAGTAGCCTCAGTAATTTCAATGGACATGCTCATTTAGCAAAATGTTTCTCAATCTGAGAAAGTGAACAGACCCTGAACTAAAGGTTGGGCTATAAATATACATTGTTGTCAGCAGAAAAGTGATCATCGATAATGATAATTATCAGATCATTTCTAAAAAATAAAAAGTTACTTTGTCTCCCCTACGCTTTCCTTTCTCATTAGAGTAACTCCTCACTTAACCTCATCCCGGTTAACATTTTGTTTCATTATTACATTGCTGATCAATTAGGGAACATGCTCGTTTAAAGTTGCACAGTCCTCCCTTATAACGTTGTTTGGCAGCCACCTTCTTTCTCCACTGCTTGGAGGAAGAGCAGCCAGTTGGAGCTAGTGGTGGGGGCTTGGAACCAGGCTGGACCGGCAGCCCCCCCCCCCTCCAGCTCCCCTAAGTTCCCTCTGCGCAGCCGCTCAGCAGGCTCTCAATTGCTGGGCAGTTCAGTTGCCCCTTCCCCCACTGCCCTGTGCCGCTTCTGCTCTCTGCCTTGGAGATGCTCCTGCTTGCTGGTGGGGGGAAGGAGGTGCTAATGTCAGGGTGTCCCCCTCCTCCCGCTCCCGTACCTTATCTCCACAGAGAGGGGGGCTCGGGGCTCACCACACAACATCACATCACACCACACCACAGGGTTCAGGATGGAGGGAGCTTCCTGGCAGCAGCTGCTGTCTCAACTTGCTGATCTAATTAAAAAGGCAGAGTACTAAGAGTGGGGTCAGCGTACTTAAAGGGGAAATGCCGGTCTCGCTCTCTCTGACACACACACACAGGGTCGCCCTTAGGCATATGCAGCTGCGTAGGCCACCCGAAAATTTGGGGCACCCCTGGGTCTTAGTGTCCACACTCCCACTTCTTCCTATCCCTGTTCTGACCCTTCCTGCACGCTCCCACAGCTAGCTGCTGTAGCCTGGTGAGTCTTCCTCCAGAGGGGATCTAGTAACTTAAAAGTGAAAAAGCCTTCCAGCCTGCCAGACCTATTAGCACAGGGGTGGGCAAACTATGGCCCAGGGGCTGCATCCGGCCCTTCAGATGTTTTAATCTGGCCCTCAAGCTTCCGCCAAGGAGCGGGGTCTGGGGCTTGCACCTCTCCAGCCGGGGGCTTGCCCCGCTCCACAAGTGCTGTGGCTCCACATGCCTCCTGGAAGCAACGGCATGTCCCCAATCCGGATCCTATGCGTAAGGGCAGCCAGGGGACTCCCCTGCAGCGCCACCCCGGCAGCTCCCATTGGAACCACGGCCAATGGGAGCTGCAGGGGTGGTGCCTGCTGATGGGGCAGCACGCCGAGCCGCCTGGCTGCGCCTCCGCACAGGAGCCAGAGGGGGGACATGCCGCTGCTTCCGGGGGCTGCTTGAGGTAAGCGCTACCTGGAGCCTGCACCCCTGACCCCCTCCTGACCCCCAACTCCCTGCCCCAGCCCTGATCCCCCTCCCACCCTCCAAACTCCTTGGTCCCAGCCCGGAGCACCCTCCTGCACTCCCAACCCCTCATTCCCAGCCCCACCCCAGAGCCTGTACCCCCACCTGGAGCCCTCACCCCCCTGCACTCCAACCCCTTGCCCCAGCCCAGAGCCCCCTCCCTCACCCTGAAGTCCTCCTTTCTGGCCCCACCCCAGAGCTCACACTCCCAGCCAGAGCCCGCACTTCCTCCCACACCCCAGCCCCCAATTGCATGAGCATTCATGACCCACCATACAATTTCCATACCCGGATGTGGCCCTCGGGCCAAAAAGTTTGCCCACCCCTGTATTAGCACAACATTGAAACTGTTAAATCGCCATTTAAATTAAAGAGCTGTTCAAGTAATGACGCCATGTAACAGGCATTTGCCAACCCCTAGGTATATACTGTCAGTTTCTGAATTTACTGACAAGAACAGTTGTGCATTACTTAATATTTACTCAGAACATGTTAGTCTACAGGACCTTAGTTTAAAATTTGCTTTAAAGATATTTCATTAGAAGATTGCTGAAGATTATAAAATCACATCTCTAAAAAATCCTTGTGCATCTAAAAATTTATTCTGAGTATTCATCTTTAGCCTTAAATGCTTGGATCTTCAGACATATCATTTTTTAAATAAATCCTTCAAAAGACCACCCTTATCTAAAATACACATTTTAATTTTAATTACTATAGTACAAAAAAACTTGCTTCCAAAGTCTTCCTGTCCTTTCTGTCCATCCCTTTCTCCCTTCATCCCCCTCCACCCCACTCCCACCCCCGTTGAAGAGAGCCATTAAAGGGACAACACCCCTTTCCTTCCAGATATCTGGACAAATGAGTTTCCCTTTCTTTACTTCTGACTATTTGATGAAGTAGTTTTAAGAGAGCCCTCT